TAAATCTCACTGAATTTTTCATTTCAGATGAACCGTTACGAAGTTACAGTGATCACGGCAGACCATTTTTTGTGAAAAGACATCCGGGAGATCGCTCACCATTTATTTACTAATAAATATTTTTAAATAAAAAAATTATCTGATAATCTAGAAACTGCAATCTGTGAAACGCAAACACATTTTTTGAAACAAGTTTTATAGTTTTCGAGAAAAAAGTTCCTAAAGAACACTCTTTTTTCGGCCTCTTGACTGAGCATGACCCCTTAATGCACGGTTTTCTCGCAACGTAATGCCGCTGGTTCGAAGTAATTCGAATATGCGCGTGAAAGGGTTAAATCACAATTCTAACGTAATACAGCCTTCTGCCCAATAAATAACCCACTATTTCTATTCGATAAACGGGTAACATAATTTAAATTAAACATTCTCTCCTTTTCATCTTTCAAAAAATTTTTTCTTTCAAAGATTTTGAATTTTAAACTAATAAGTGATCTTTGTCGGTTGACTGTTAATTTAATTCTGATTTTTTCAAGTTTCTTTTTTCTGATGACTAAAGTTAGAATATATTTTTTCATAAGGATGTATGTTCGAATGTCGGGTGTAAATACATTTCAATTTCCAATTAATAAAAATCCTTTGACGAAACATAGTTCTGAAATAAATTCTGTCGCAGGTATGTAACGCTACTGTGAAACTTGCTTGTCTATTTGGATGTATGTTCGGAAGTCATGTTTTCCTATTTTGGCAGGAGGTTGATTAACAAGTTTGGGTGTGTAAAAGATTCACACCGTAAACGTAGATAAAGAAATTTCCTTAAGAAATGTTATGCACATTGACTTCCGCAACCAATTACTTTCGTTACAATTATTTATATTATTAATTAATATTAATAAACCATACTATACTGTTACGTACGTACTACAACCATTGAATCGAAAATCAAGGCCTACTCGCATCAAAACAAAATTGAGAAAACAATTTATTGTGAACATCCCATAGCTGACAGCAATGTTACTACTCTTCGTTACTCATAATTAACTTATTTAACATTCATTACAATAATAACAGTAAATTAGTATTAGAGCACGATAAAGCTTTTCATCAATACCCAAAAATAGTATATAATTGAAGTAACGTCTACAACTGGGAGGATCACACTTTCAGTACTAATAAATTCAAGTATATTTATTCACTACTATACAACTATTTGTACAAAAAACAAACTGAGACTGAGTGTCCTCAAAAGCCTAATTACTTGGTTTCTACGTTGAGAACCTGAATGCTCTTAATTATACTACTGAAATGAACCTAATCGACCATTTAGACCTTCAACCTAATTGGTGATACTCTTCTACACTCTACTAAATCTGATTATCTATTCACCCCGATTTTTCGCAGGTCGATTATTTTTTCTTCCCAAAGCTAAACTCATTTCTGAAATATACAAATGTATTCACCATTCTGGACATCCAAGGGAATGTGACGACCTCACCGGCAGAATATAGTTAAACGGACGTACTCATTAAAACGTGTTTCAAAAATAGGTGGTTTTTGGGATTTCTTCTGCACAAAAGTGTACAAAATGTAGTAAAAAATGTTGTGATCTTTATTTATACATTATTCAGATTATGAAAAGAAATTTTTCTTTTAAGTTCCTGTAGTCATGCTATTTTTTAGATGCCGTTCAATGCACTGCTGTAAAAGAGAAGGCGTTGACGGTAGCCAACATTACTCGACCGAGAATTGTCTGAAATAAAAAAACCAAATAAATTCTGAAATATTATATCAATGACAATCGTATCAGCCATCGATCACAACTTTTACAGCATATATCTTCTTAATATTAACATTTTTATGTGCAAAATTGTTCCTCTTTTTGGATTTCTTGGTTCAAACGTGTAGCAAACATTACCATTTCATTTTTTTTTATATAATATTTGACAAAATTTTTTGATTGAATACTTATTGATATAATGTTTAAGAATTTATTTGAACATTTAAATTCCGCCAATCCTACGTCCAATCAACGCCTCTTCTTTTGCAGTGAGCAGCATCTAGAAAATTTCGCCACTACATACAAGAATTTAGAAGAAAAAGTTTATTTCATATATCTAAATAATATATAAATAAATGTGACAACCCTTTTTACTATATTTTTTATAGTTTTGCATAACTAAAATCCTAAAAATCACCTTTTTTTTAGCGTTTTAATGAGAAAGTCCCACTTAAGGAGGACGTTTTCCCAAAACATTAAATACCTGTGTGAACGATATAAAAAAATATATTGTGTCCGGAAGGTGTATATTTTGAATGGCAGCAAAGTGATTTTCAACGAATTGCTAAAAAGTTCTCATTTCCTGGATCATATTCACCGAATGTTATTGAAACATCGTACAGTTTGCACAGCCTGTAATCCTTTCAGGGTATACTTCGGATATGACCTGTTTCTACGCTTTCGAAGTGATCCCGTTTAAAAGTCGGTTGTCGTTAATTGTCGAGCGTGCCGATTTTTTTTTCTCAACGTTCCTTTCACATGCTCGAAACGGCGCAACGAGCGTCACGGGATATTGAGTTTCGGTT